GAGAGAGAGAGAGAGAGAGAGAGAGAGAGAGAGAGAGAGAGAATTTAGGGAGACCGGATGTGAGAGAAGGTAGGATGGGTAAGGCAGCAGAGGAAAGGCTAAGACATAGGGCCAGTAGTGCAGAGTGGACTGGTCATTAGACCACTGTGCTGAGGTTGGAGGAGTCCTCTGAGTGCATGAGCTGCACTGGGGCCTGCTTGAGGGGGGGACGGGTCTTGTCTTGGTTCTGCCACACGTAGTGGATCAGATAAGCCGCCACCAGTGTCAGCCAGCCCCCCATGGTGACTAGCAGGGCCACATCAGTGTTCCTTCGGGTCCCACCCCACCCTGTCCCACACAGCTCTTCCTCCCTGGCCAGAAGAAGGAACTCTTGCCCCACAAGGTCTGGCCGGGCTCCGGGGCCACACACAATGCCTGTCCCAGTGCCTGGAGCCAGCCTCACCTGTCTGAGCACTTCCTGGAGGGCACAGTCACAGCGCCATGGGTTGGCAGACAGGTTCACTTGGATCTGCAGCCCTACAAAGGCCGCCATTGGTACAGATGCTAGCTGGTTGGCAGAGAGGTCAAGGTGGCGCAGAGTGTCCTCCAGGCCCTGGAAAGCAGCCCCAGAGAGGCGGACAAGGAGGTTATGAGACAGGTCCAACTCTTCCAGGACAGGCAGGTGCTGGAAGGCACCAGCTGGCACTGATTCCAGCTGGTTGGCATCCAAGTAGAGCTTGCGGGTGTCGTTGGGGATGCCAGAGGGCAAGGCACTCAGGCCTGCCTGGCTGCAGCGGAAGGTCTGTTCACCGGCTTCTTCTGCTATGTAGCACCCCTGGGGCAGTGCCTGGGGGCTGGGCACAGAACTCCCTATGCCTGTCACCAGCAGGAGGGGCAGGAGGCAAGCAGCTGAGGGGAGCATGGTCATGGATAAACATAGTCCTGGAGAGGAGGAGGATCTGAGGAAGAAAAGACTCCATGAGGGAAGAGCAAAAGAGAATTAATTCCATGTCCCACTGAAGTACTCTCCTGCTGGGGTTCCTTTGGCAGACTCTCTGGGCCAGGGCCTCTCCTTTGGTGGGGGGCTTTCTTAGCCCTAGGTCTCTCTCTCTTTTTT